AGGGAGGCAATGGAGAGGTTTCGGAGGTTTATGCCAAGCACCCCCACTGCCAGGGGAGCAGGTACCCACGAGGTTTGCTTTCTCCCCCTGGGAGCTGCAGCAGAGGCAGGGGTGGCTGCAGGGCTCCCAGGAGGAAGAGCCACCTCTCTGTGTCCCCAAGCTTGGCATTGCCACCACCCTGGTGACCTGCTGCCACCCCAGCCCAGCTGAACATGCTCCCCTTCTCCCCCCTGCAGCGACAGCGGACGCCCCTTCTTCCTCTACCTGGCGCTGGCCCATATGCACGTCCCTTTGGGGGTCCCCCCTTCGCCCCCCACCTCGGGCATCTACGGAGCCTCCCTGAGCGAGATGGATGCTCTGGTGGGACAGATAAAGCGGGTCGCTGACAGCCATGGGAAGGGCAACACGCTCCTGTGGTTCACAGGTACAGCAGGAAACGTGGCCGTGGCAATGGGGGGCAATGCTGGGGGGGTCTGCATGGGTGGCAGGGGCAGGATGTGTTTGTCCCCTGCCTGGGGCCGTCACACCGCAGGGCGATGCTGTAGCCACTCCGCTGGGTCCCCACCTCGCCACCCCCTTGGGCTGCAGGGCTGGGCCTAATTAAACCACAAATCCTCATTCATTAAGAAGCCCAAATCCGCTCTGGCTGAGCAGCGTATGTCTCGCTCCTGAGGACAGGAACCGCTCGGCAGCTCATTAACACCCAGAGCTGGTGGCAGCCTTGTCCCCTCCCTACACCCCAGCTCCGCTCCAGCCCCTCACCCAGGGCTCGGGCAGCCCTGGCCCTTGAGAATGAACTGCTGGATAGGCACAAAAATGAACCCACGGCTCTTGCTTGGGTGGGAAAGCATCACAGGGATGGGAGGAAGGGATGGAGATTCGCTTGTCCTTGTCCACTCCCATCGCGGAGCTGTTCCCTCCCGTGGTCCCGGTGGTGCTCATAGGGACGTTTCTTTCTCTTGCAGGTGACAATGGCCCTTGGGCACAGAAGTGTGAGCTGGCCG